CTTTTGTGTAATCAGAGGTGACTTGATGAATAGTTACAGTTCATCCATAGCATCTTTGTTCCCAGGAGAAAGAAAACAAATCATGATTTATATGATCATCACCAGGGAACCTCTGACCTACAAAGAGGGTTTGGGTCAAAGCCAGGGCAAAGAGCAAGCGCTTGGTCTGGCAGCACTTTTCTGCAGCTGTCACCGTGGTCGGGGCTAGAGCTGGCAGGGGTCTGGGAGGCAGAGGTCTCCCCCAAGACCCCTCCTCTCCCCTCTAGGTAGTGTTCCCCACAGCAGAAATGATGCCCAGCCTGGCCCGTACTTGGCAGGACCTGGACACGCGAGGCCAGTCATGGGCCCTCCCGGTGGCTGGTCCTCCCAGGCACAGGGAAGGATCATAAAGTTCACCAATGGCTGTGCGCCAGGCACCAGGCCCTTGCTCAGGGCTCTGCAAACACTTCTCAGGCGCTCCGCACAAGGTCAGGATGACGAGTCTTGCCCCCATTTCATGGATGGGTTTGGGAACACAAAGAGACAAGAAGCAAGACTGTGGCACAGCTCAAAGGCACAGGACTCGAGCCAGGTCCTCCTTTAGCGAAGCCGGGGCCCCCTCTGCAGGTCCTCCTGTAGGACTGTGCCCCAGTAGCTGGCAGAGTGTTCCTGAGTTCCCAGCAGTGAGGTCTGCGGGGAAGGGCAGTGGACTGTGCGGTGGAAGGGAGGGAGGCAGCGGGACAGACTGACCAAGAGCAGAAGGGGTGCAGACGTGGCACATTTGGAGTCGGAAGCAGGCTCTGCATCAGACACAGCCTCAAATCGGGGCTCTGCCTCTTTCTCATAGAGTGATCTTAGCTCTCTGTGCCTCAGTTTCTTCATCTGTACCAGGAGAACAATGCTAACACCTGTCCTGTAGGGTTGTTACAAGGACCAGCTGAGAGAACGTGTGTGTTGTACTCATCACAGTGCTTGAGATAGAGTAATCATTCAGTAAATGGTGGCTGCTATCACAATTATTATTATTTACTATTATTACTTTTATTAATTCCTCTCTCCAGTGATGGGAATTTTGTTTATGTTCTTATTTATTTATTTATTTATTTTAGAGACAGGGTCTTGCTCTGACACCCAGGCTGGAGTGCAGTGGTGTGATCATAGTTCACTGCAGCCTCAACTTCCTGGACTCAAGTCATCCTCCCTCCTCAGCCTCCTGAGCGGCTGGGACTACAGCTGTTCACCAACACACCTGGCTAATTTTTGTTTTGTTTGTAGAGATGGGGGGTCTCTCTATGTTGCCCAGGCTGGTCTCGAACTCTTAGGCTCAGGCAGTCCTCCTGCTTTGGCCTCCCAAGGTGCTTGGATTCCAGGTGTGTGATGGGAATTTCATTTGGGTCCTTATGCTCATCCATATCTTTGTAATACTCCCCAGTGACTGTGAGAATGCCCATTGTTCTTCTTGCCCTCAGGCCAAGGTGGAAGGGGATGTTGAGCCAGGACCCCCTCCCACCCAGCCCATCAGCATATCTGCCCCAGGTTCTGGGCTATTCCAAGCTGGAGGCTCTGACTCCATAATGGGGCGCATGAGTGCAGATGCAAATACTAATAAGAATGGTGACAAGCTCCAGCACTTACTGAGGGCTCATTCTGTGCCAGGAACTTGGGCTGGGAGTGCCAGCCAGCGGCCCTGCAGGAGGCTGTGGGTACCACTGCCCCCTGCTGCTCAGATCCTGCTTGGTGCCAGCTTCTCAGACCTTCTCCAGCTGGCTGGGCACCCCTGGGTCATGGATCTCTGCCAAGTCGGGGGTGCTGGGAGAGCAGAGCTCACCGCAGGTCTGGCCCCCCGCAGCTGTGCACACCACTGTGGGCCTCTGCAGAAAGAACCCAGTGGGCTCCCACCGGCCCCCAGTCCCCAAGACCCCGGCATTCACTGTGCCTTGGTTACAGGGTGAATAATTTAGGCCGCTGAGTGTTGGTCATGAAATATTAATCAGCCTGTTCCTGATGCACCAGCATGTGAGTGTGCGTGGGGGTGATGCTGGCACTGGGGTGTGGAGGCTGGCAGCCATGAGCCAGCATGTTTCTGAACATAGATACGTAGCTGGGTCTTCTGTCTGCCTCATCTGTGTCGACGGGACCCTCTCTGGATCACCAGGCATGCTGCCTGCTCCCCGCACGATCATGAAGTGCCAGGCCCAGCATCAGCCCCAGCAAATGGCAGCCCTGTGTCTAGGGAGTGGGGACGGGGGAGAAATCAGTGAGTGAGGGTCCATGGGGGCTGCAGACAGCCTTGGGGGTCTCAGGAGTCAGGGAAGTGGACAGAGAACCAGGGCTTTAGGGACAGGGAGATGCCAGCTGGGAGGGTCTCAGGATGTGTGTGAGAGGGAGGGAAAGGGCACACGTGACAGGGGTCAGAAGAAGGGCTAAGTCGTGTTGGGAACAAGAGGGTGGATGGGCAAAGGGGAGTGGCCTGGTACACGTTGATGGGCAGGCAACAAGTGGATGGGTAGTTGGATGGTTGAGCCAGGGATGGATGCAGGGTGGAGCATGTGGTTGATCTGGGGGGTGATAGACTGGGGGAGGTAGATGGGCAGGATGTAAAGTTCTGTGAAGAACTGGCCTCCTGGGCACAAAAGGTGAATTGGAACCCAGTAGGCCCCCAACTTAGAACTTCTCCTGGGTCTGGGGGGGGGGTAGGTTGTGGCTCCACCTAGTGTCTTTTGGTGGTAACTGCACCCTGGGCTGTTCACATCCAGCAGCCCAGCAGCTAGGACAGCTTTCCTGTCCCCGTTAGGCCCCCTCTAGGCTGGGAGAACAAGGACAGTGACAGCCGAAAGCTAGGCCCCAGGAGAAGCCCCTGAGACACGTTCCATCTCTTCACTCCCTGCATGCCCATATTGCCGGCCAGTCTCTGCATCACACAGACAGATGGGTGTTCAAATGCCACTTACCAGCTGTGTGGCAGAGGAGACAGCTGAGTCTGTGCCTCTGTTGTGGGACTATGGGTGATGGCACAGAGTCCGGGGCCCTCCAGCCCCACCTGTGAGCCTCCCCAGCTGCAAGTACCATTGATCGAATTCTGATTCTGGCAGGTCCCCTGCTAGGTGCCTTACCGGTGTAATCTCAGTTGATGGTCACAGTAAATTAATAAAAATAGTTGATGGCCGGACGTGGTGGCTCATGCCTGTAATCCCAGCACTTTGGGAGGCCGAGACAGGTGGATCACTTGAGCTCAGGAGTTCGAGACCAGCCTGGGAAAGACCTCATCTCTACTAAAAATACAAAACTTAACTGGGCGTGGTGGCACATGCCTGTAGTCCCAGCTACTCAGGAGGCTGAGGCAGAAGAATCACTTGAACCCAGGAGGTGGAGGCTGCAGTGAGCCAAGATTGTGCCACTGCACTCTAGCCTGGGCAACAGAGCAAGACCTTGTCTCAAAATAAATAAATAAATAAATAACAATATGGCATTCACTGGGTACTTTACTAACCGTGGCAAGACATGGCCCTAGCCTCAACTACCCCCTACAAAATAAGAATGACAATAGGACTTAAGAATAACCTGGGCCGGGTGCGGTGGCTCCCACCTGCAATCCCAGCACTTTGGGAGGCCAAGGCAGGTGGTTCACTTGAGGTCAGGAGTTTGAGACCAGCCTGGCCAAGATGGCGAAACTGGGTTTCTACTAAAAATACAAAAATTAGCCAGGCGTGGTGGCACATGCCTGTAGTCCCAGATGCTTGGGAGGCTGAGGCAGAAGAATGGCTTGAACCTGGGAGGCAGAGATTGCAGTGAGCTGAGATTGAGCCATTGCATTCCAGCCTGGATGACAGAGCAAGACTCAGTCTCAAAAATAAAAATAAAAAAAGAAGAACCTGCCTGCTAGTGCCATAGCCCAGAGCTAGCAGAGCCCAGAGCTAGCACAGCAGAAACATTCAGTACGTAGTGGACATCCCGCGGGCTGCCAGATGAACAGAAACAGCAACAACAAAACCCAGGACATTTGACTAGCTTTGAATCTTAGATAAACAAGCTGTATTTTAGTACAAGTATGTCCCATGCAATATTTGGGATATAGAATACTAAAGCATTATCTGTTTATCTGAAATTCAGATTGAAACTGGATGAACTGCATTTCATCTGGTAACCCTTACCACCCTGCCCTCTGGGAACTCAGTCTTCTGGGGGAGGCAAAGGTCAAAATCAGTTATGGTCAACCAAGCATGACAGGTCATGCTCATAGCAGCCCTGGGCAGTGTGGGGCGGAGGCCAGCAAAGGGGAAATAAATCAGGGTGGCCCTCATGGAAGAGGGATGGGGACTGAGTCTTCAAGAGGGAGGAGGATGGAAGGGCATTCCAGATGGAGGGGGCACACGACGAAAGGGATAGAGGTCAGACACAGCAGGTGTGGGGACTCATGGTGACAGTGGGTGAGAGGGGTGGAGAGGACAGCTTATCACATTTTTGTAGACATCGGTTAAAAAGTGGGACTGAGGCTGGGCGTGGTGGCTCATGCCTGTAATCCCAGCACTTTGAGAGGCTGAGGTGGGTGGATCACGAGGTCAGGAGTTCGAGATCAGCCTGGTCAACATGGTGAAACCCCCTCTCTACTAAAAATACAAAAAATTAGCCGGGCGTGGTGGCGCATGCCTGTAATCCCTGCTACTCAGGAGGCTGAGGCAGAAGAATCGCTTGAACTCGGGAGGCAGAGGTTGCAGTGAGCCAAGATCAAGCCACTGCACTCCAGCCTGGGCAACAGAGCTAGATTTCATCTCAAAAAAAAAAAAAAAAGTGGGACTGAGGGCAGGGCAGTGCTGGGTCGGACGCTCTCAGGGGCCTCTGAGGGAGGGTGGCTCAGGACTAAGTCCGGGGAAGCCCCAGGGGCGGCAGCGGGCCGGTGACAGGGCCCTCTCCCACCCACTCTCCCTGACGTTCAGGGCTCCCCGGGAGGGGGCGGGGGGCGTAAGGAGGCCTCGGAGGGGGTGAGGCGCTGAAGGCCCAACGTGGGCACTGTGTCTCCGCAGGGGAGTGAATGCCCAAACCAAGAACGGTGCCACGCCCCTGTACCTGGCGTGCCAGGAGGGCCACCTGGAGGTGACGCAGTACCTGGTGCAGGAATGCGGCGCAGACCCGCACGCGCGCGCCCTCGACGGCATGACCCCGCTGCACGCCGCGGCGCAGATGGGCCACAGCCCGGTCATCGTGTGGTTGGTGAGCTCCGGGCCCGGGCGGTGGGGGAGGGGAGGCGGGGCGGAGCCGGCAGGGCGGGGCGTGGAGGGGGTGGGGCCATCAGGGTGGGGCGGGGGAACGGGAACGGGACTGGGAGGGGTAGGGGCGGGGCCCGCAGGGGCCTGGCGCCCAGCCCCCGCCCCTCTCTCCCCGCCCTTCCTGCCCAGGTGAGCTGCACCGACGTGAGCTTGTCGGAGCAGGACAAAGACGGCGCCACCGCCATGCACTTCGCGGCGAGCCGCGGCCACACCAAGGTGCTCAGCTGGCTGCTGTTGCACGGCGGGGAGATCTCGGCTGACCTGTGGGGCGGGACCCCACTGCACGACGCCGCCGAGAACGGGGAGCTAGAGGTCAGCGCGGGCCCGGGATTGGGGCGCGCGCCCTCTGCTGGCACCGCGCTCTCGGCAGGGCCCTGCCCGGGTGTGGGGGTCCCAGCTCGCGGCCGGGGCCGGGTCCTCACTGCCTGCCCCCGCAGTGCTGCCAGATCCTGGTAGTAAATGGCGCGGAGTTGGACGTCCGCGACCGCGACGGGTACACGGCCGCCGACCTGTCGGACTTCAACGGCCACAGCCACTGCACCCGCTACCTGCGCACTGTGGAGAACCTGGTACGATCCCTGCGCTGCTCCTGTAGCATTCTCTCTTCTCGCCCCTCCACCCCAGTGGTGGGTGTCGTCACCCCTTTTTACCAAGGAGGAAGCTGAGGTTCAGGGACGGGAAGCCCACTACCCCACACGACCTCTCAGCCCAGAACCACTGCCTACTGGGGACTGAGGGATTAGAGGCACAAAGGTTAACAGAAAGAGGACAGGGAAGAACAGGGTCACCCCAAGGGGTAAGGCTGGAGAAATCACAAGACAGGCCCCATTGGGAACAGTTAGGCTCCTTCACCCGCCCATAGACATTAGCTTGGGTATAACTCACAGCCACCTCTGCAGAAGACAGTGTAAGTGTCCCGTTCCACATATGGATAAACTGAGTCTGCGGGGCACCAAGATCACATCACCAGTAAGGGGTAGAGTGGAGAACCTGCCTTGATGGCCTGGCCAGGAGCCACCTCTCAGCCCCTGCACCATACATTTGCTGACTTCATGGCTGGTTCATAACTGGAAACCCATGCTACTCTTTTTAAATTATGTTATTATGGTGAGACAGCCATGAAGTGACCAGCTGGGACTTGAACTCAGCTGTGGATGTCTCCAAGTGCAGGGCTCTGCACCAGCTGGTACGATGCCTGCTTTGAGGCAATAGGCAGGGAGGAGAGTGGGCCTCGCAGCCAACCCCAGAAGGATGTGAACTAACTCCATGGGGCAGCCTGGCCATGGAGGGTCTGTGAAATGAGGCCCGGAGGGAAGAAGGCAGATGGTCTGTGCCCTGAGCACCGTTGGTGCATCTGCCCTCCCTACCAGCACAGGGGGATGGTCCTGGCTCTGGGGGCTGCAGAACACAGCAAGGCCCAAAGGCCAGAGGCTGCAGGCGGGCCTGAGGATGAACTTCTGCCCCAGAAAGAGTCTCTGGAAGAGAATGAGTGGCCCAGCAAGTAGTGAGCACCCTGTCACTAGGGTATATAAGCCAGGATGGACACTGGGAAGGGCTTTGCTGCATCAATGGTAGGTATCCCTTAGCTAAGAGAGTCTGTGACTCTGTTGAGGGACCATGGGGTGGCACTAGGGCCCAGGGCACCTGAGGGCCTCTCTGGATGCAACTGCTAGTGGTCATAGGACAGCAAACACCACTCATTGGATTCTGACTTAGGTAGGTACCCTGCCGAGTGCCTTAAAGGTGTAATCTCAGTTACTCTTCACAGTACATTAAAAAATATAGGCCGGGCGCGGTGGCTCAAGCCTGTAATCCCAGCACTTTGGGAGGCCGAAATGGGTGGATCACGAGGTCAGGAGATCAAGACCATCCTGGCTAACACGGTGAAACCCCGTCTCTACTAAAAAATACAAAAAACTAGCCGGGCGAGGTGGCGGGCGCCTGTAGTCCCAGCTACTCGGGAGGCTGAGGCAGGAGAACAGCGTGAACCTGGGAGGCGGAGCTTGCAGTGAGCTGAGATTCGGCCACTGCACTCCAACCTGGGCCACAGAGCAAGACTCCATCTCAAAAAAAAAAAAATATATATATATATACACACACACACACACACACACACACACATATATATATAGAGAGAGAGAGTTGGTTGGGTGTGGTGGCTTAGGCCAGGCACGGTGGCTCACGCCTGTAATCCCAGCACTTTGAGAGGCTGAGGCCAGCGGATCACGAGGTCAGCAGATCGAGACCATCCTGGCCAACATGGTGAAACCCCATCTCTACTAAAAATACAAAAAAAATTTAGCCAGGTGTGGTAGCACACACCTGTAGTCCCAGCTACTCAGGAGGCAGAGGCAGGAGAATCACTTGAACCCAGGAGGCGGAGGTTGCTGTGAGCCAAGATTGCGCCACTGCACTCCAGCCTGGTGACAGAGCAAGATTCCATCTCAAAAAAAAAGTTGACAGGCCAGGCATGGTGGCTCATGCCTGCACTTTGGGAAGCTGAGGTGGGTGGATCACCTGAGGTCAGGGTTCGAGGCCAGCCTGGTCAACATGATGAAACCCCATCTCTACTAAAAATACAAAAATTAGCTGGGTGTGGTGGTGGGCACTTGTAATTCCAACTACTTAGGAGGCTGAGGCAGGAGAATTGCTTGAACCTGGGAGGTGGAGGTTGCAGTGAGCCGAGACCGCACCACCACACTCCAGCCTGGGCAACAAGAATGAAACTCCGTCTAAAAAAAATAGTTGACTATATGTCATTTACTGGGTGCCATGTCCTGGAGCTCAGCAGGGCAAGTAGTGCTGTTATCCCCATTTGCAGATGAAGAAACTTAGGCACAAAAAGCATAGGTGACTCACCCTAAATGACACAGCTAGTAAGTGGGGGAGGGGAAGTTTGAAGCCACTGTCCCAGACTGCAGAGCTGGGTGACTCAGGGCAGATGCAGTACACCTGCTGTGACTCAGCCTCTTATCTGCTGCCTACAGGGGTCAGGGCTTGGTGCCCTCAGCACCCACTGCTGTTGGCCAGGTAAAGAGCACCTTTGGGTGCTGCCCAAGCCACCTCCTATAGCTCCCCTGACTCCTGGGGTAGGCAGCTGGGCCTGGTCCCCTGGAATGGGTGGGGGGTGTGTGCCCTGGTTCTCTCACCCAAGCAGGCCCAGCTTCGGCAGTGACAGATCCAAGCCACAGAAGATGCTGGCCCAGAAAAGGCAAACACTCCCGCAGAGCCCCTAATTACGGGGCCAATGAGCGCAGCCGCCGAGCCGTTACCTGGTGCCAGGCCTGCCTCTCTCTCCCAGGGGGCCTGTGACACTTCTTAGGCAGGGGGGGGCACGGGGCAAGGAGGAGTACGCCTGGGTAGGAGGCAGCGGAGCAAGCGGGCTTGCCGGCAGCAGGGGCAGCATGGGCAACGTAAGCAGGGCCCCCACCCCATCCCCCTCTGCACCGGGAGGGGACAGGCCTGTGGTCAGAGGCACAGACCCGGCAGGGCGGGGGAATGGCAGGCCTGGCAGCCTGAGCTCTGGCTGCCCATCACTGCTCAGCTGGCTACCCAGGCCCCACCCTTACCCCAAGGGCCCCATCAGGAAACAGGCCGGGCTGGTGTTGGGAGTCTGCCCCAGGTCCCAGGTCCGGCAAGGAGCACTAGCTTGCCAGCCAGATAACTAGGGATGGGCCTGTGCTGTGTGCCTCCCCATGGAGCCTCTGATCCTTAAGGGAGAAGGCCGATCTCCCGGCAGTTCTCCCCTTGGGGTGCAGCTCAAGGCCCCCTCCTCGTCGATCTCTCCACCCTCCTAATCAGGGAGGAGCCAGGCGAGGCAGTTTCCCAGGAACCTGGGTCCTGCTGCCTGGCGGGGCTGGGCTTGAATCTTAACTTGGAGGAACCTGAGAGACCCTCCAGTGATGCAGAAGAGACCCCGGAGAGGGGTGTGGCTTGACCGAGATCCCACAGTGAAGGCGTGGCTGAGTGGGACCCTAGCCTGGAGAGCAACGCATCTTGGGGTGCACTTGCCTTCATGGCTTCCCTGCCTCCCCTTCAGAGCGTGGAGCACCGCGTGCTCTCCCGGGGTCCATCCGCAGAGCTGGAGGCGAAGCAGCTGGATTCAGGCATGTCCTCACCCAACACCACGGTGTCAGTCCAGCCGCTGAACTTTGACCTCAGCTCGCCCACCAGCACCCTCTCCAACTATGACTCCTGCTCCTCCAGCCACTCCAGCATCAAGGGCCAGCACCCTGCACGCGGTGAGTGTGCCCAAGGAGGAAGAGGGGGAGGGAGAGCAGACTGAAGCCAGACCACTGGGCTGTGAGGGTTGGCCTTGGGCCACCCTGCCATAGCCAATGTCAGAGACTACCCTCATCGCTTGCTCTTAAACATGGGGAGGAGACACCCCTTCTGCTGAGAAACAGATGTCACTCATGCGTGTGTGTGCTCATCACAAACATAGGTGTACATCCACATGTACTCTCCCCACACACAAAATCCACGTGTGCCGCCCACCATTCATTATTCTCAGCTACTCACACACAAAAGCACACGCTTGTATATGTGTACATACAGCCTACAAATATGAACACACACACAGAGCCATGCTAATATCTGCACACACCCACCTTATACACAAGCACACAATGCTATTTCCATACTACAGATATGCACACACACACACAACCATGTCCACAGAGCAATGCACAAATTCATCAGTACAAAGAAGCACGTGCACAAATGCATACACACTCAAACACACACAAATGCACAATCGCCTCAGCAGACTGCAGGCATGCGCGTACACACACCCTGACCATGCCCTGAGCATGGGCGTCTGTCCACTTGCAATGCCTGGTTTACGCCGCTAGATGGTGGCCTCCAGCCCCGGGAGGGGTGCCCTGCAAAGACTAGATGTGACCATCCGTACTCCCAAGGAGTAGACCCTCCCCTTCCAGGTGACCCTGCCCTCTAGACACACCAAAGCCTCGGTGCTTCCCCTCCAAACCAGGGTGCCTGATCTTCCCCCAGTAAGTGCTGGACTGGGGCAGGGCAGTGCCAGGGAGAGGAGGCCCAGCACCGCCAGGGGCCACAGCAAGTGTACCAAGTGGTGCCCTGGAGCCCACTGTGGCCCTCGGCAAGTTGTTTCCAGGTGGTGGAGAGTCTGTCTTGGGGAACAGCCTGTCCGAAAGCTCCCAAATCTGGCCCTTTCTTCTGCCTCCCCAGAGCTTTCCAGCGCTAGAGCTGCAGACATACAGAGCTACGTGGACATGAACCCGGAGCTGGGCCTGCCTCGGGGCATGATCGGGAAGCCCACACCCCCACCACCCCCACCCAGCTTTCCCCCGCCCCCCCCGCCCCCAGGCACCCAACTGCCCCCACCCCCACCTGGCTACCCAGCTCCCAAGCCTCCTGTGGGACCACAGGCAGCTGACATCTACATGCAGACGAAGAACAAACTCCGCCACGTGCAGACGGAGGCCCTCAAGAAGGAGGTAGTGAGCCCTCACCCCCTGCCTGCCTCCCAGCAGGGGGACTAGGCCGATGGGGGCCAGTGAGGCCAAAGGCCTGGCCTCACTAGTGGGCATAGGGTGGGGGTCCCTAGGTCCTTGGCATGTTCAAGAGTCAAAGCTCCTGGCGAGTCCCATGAGGGGTCAGGGCTGGACACTGGACTGGGAGGAGAGTAAGAGCAGGTCACCGCCCTCCATGGGAGCCGGGGGGTGAAGGACGCAGGTCCAGACAGCTGTGCCTCAACAGGAACTGGGCCTGTGCCACCTCTTGCACAGAGTGGCTGGGTTGTCATGAAGTTGACAGAGAATTCATGGAGACTGCTCCTCCCCAAGCATGCCCCCACCAGCCCCACAGCCCCAGGCTCAGTCGGAGAGTGTTACCCAAGGGAGGTGGCTGCCAGGTGGAAGGTGCCGGTGGCATGGCTGTGGAGGTGAGGGCTGGAAGGAGTGTGGGGGGAAGGTGAGCAGGCACTAGCGGGGCTGGGTGCCCACCGGCAGTGGGGGCTGGGAGGAAGTGAAGCTGTGGCTAGTTCCAGTTTAGGGCTCGAGATCCTGGGGGAAAGGGCCAGGCCTGAGCTGGGAGCCCTGGAGGGAAGCAGAGCCTGTGTGGAGAGGATGAGGCCAGGGCAGGCAGGTGGAGTGTGAGGCACCTAGGGATGTCTGGGGGCTGCAGGCCCCTGGCTGAGGCTCTGGAGCAGGAGTGGGGGCAGAGGTCTGGTCTGAGCAATTCTGGGAATCTTGGGCAGGGTGACCTGGGGAACACTGGCATTCTGGCCACAGGAACAGAGCAAGGATGGCCTGAGAGGTGAGGGGACAGCCTGAGGTCACAGGTGGCCAGATGTGGTGTGGCAGCGCTCTGGGGTCCTGCTGGAGCCTGGGACCTTGCATTTCTCTCTTAAGCCCAAGGCAAGCCACCCCAGGGCCAGTTTATACAAGGTGACCCAGGTCACAAGGCCACTGGGCAAGGGAGGCATGGGAGGGACACCAAACCTGCAGGCCAGCTCCACTGGCTGCCCTCTTCATGCCACCTTAGACCAAGCTCCCACAGTGGCTTCCCCTTTCACCTCTGGGAGGCAGAGGGGGCTGGCCAGGTAGGGCTGCAGGGGCCCTGGAATCGCTGAGCTCCCAGCCCAGCCTGTGGGCCCCGCCCAAAGCCACAGGACAGGTGGCCCAGCCAGTGTCCCCTCTCCACCGGTGAGCCCAAGTGCCAGGTCTGCGTGGTCCCCTCCTGGCTGTGTGAGCCCGTCCCGGGTGTGTGCGTCCCTCCTGGCAATGTGCGTCCCTCCCGGCTGTGAGCCCCCTCCCGGCTCAGTGCGCCCCTCCCGGCTGTGAGCCCCCTCCCGGCTGTGTGCGCCCCTCCCGGCTGTGAGCCCCCTCCCGGCTGTGTGTCGCCCCTCCCGGCTGTATCACGCCCCTCCCGGCTGAGCCTCGGCTGTGTGGCCGCCTCCCGGCTGTGTCGCCCCTCCCGGCTGTAGGCCCCCTCCCGGCTGTGTGCGCCCCTCCCGGCTGTGAGCCCCCTCCCGGCTGTGTGTGCGCCACTCCCGGCTGTGTGCGTGCTGGGCCGCAGGCGCCAGGGCCGGGACCCGGACACTCCACAAAGGGCTCTTTGTGTGGCCGCGGCGCCCCCCGCGCGGGTGCCTGACCGAGGGCGGGAGCAGGGTCGTGGCGTCCGAGCCTCCGGGCTGCAGGGGGCGCGGAGCGGGCGGGCTGGCCCAGAAAACAAATCCTGCGGTGTCGCGTTTCCTGCAACGTGAGCCAGGTCGGGCGGGGTGAAGGGTCTGAGGCCACCTTAGGGACGCATGGGCTGGAGAGTGGGGCAGGGGACAGCCCCCACCCCGTCACTCAGTCTTTGGCCGGGCCGCCTCACTCTCCCTCACTGATCTGGGCCTATTTGGGGGCAGCTGCGACGGGGCGGGAAGCCGTGCTGTCACCCGACCCCGCCTTACGGCCCCTGAAACCCGAGGCTTGAGCGCGGGTGTCGGTGTCGCTTTCGGATGGGGATGGTTTCCAGATGCAGGAGGGGAAGCAGGGGGACGCGACCCGGAGCCGGGGGCCAAATATGAGAGGCCCCCTCTGCCCAGGATCAGCCCTCTCCCGTCTCCGGCGGGGATGAAGGTGGGGACTCAGCTCCCAGCTTAGGGAGAGGCGCAGGGGGCGGGGTCACATCTGGCCTGGGGCGGGTGCAGAGCTGCGGCCAGGTGTGGCAAGGTAGTTGGCGCCCCCGTGGTATCCGCGACGGCTGGGGGGTTCGGCCTGGGATTGGCGGGCCCCGGGTGATGTCAGGCCGTCGGAGCCCATAGGCTGGCCGTGTGCGGGCGGCTGTAACCTGAGAGGAAGTATCAGGTAACGCAGGTGTCGGGTCCTGCCGCCCCCGCCGCCAGGTGCACAGCGGGGGCCACCAGCACCGTGGCAGGTAGGAGCAGCCCCCGGATGGGCAACCGGGGTCCGGGGCAAGCCGGAGCCTCGGAGAGCACAGGCTCTGGAGGGGGCTCCCTCCGGCCCGGGACCCCGAAAGACAGGGCTCCGCGGAGCCCTGGGGACCCGCAGTCCGTCTGACAGCCGAGAGCGGGGTGCGGCCAAGGGCCTAGTGAGGGCTAAACCGGGAGGTGCCCCTTCTCCAGCTCCCCCTGGCGTCGGGGCTGGGCCACCCCGTCCCTGGGCCCGCCCCTTCTGGCCTCAGTGGGGGCCCCTGTGCCCCTTGGCCGGTGCCCAGAACCCCTCCCTGTAAGGCGGGCGGAGCCTGCCCTTCCACCGACGCCCCCATGACCCTCTCCCCGTGCCCGCCCTGAGAACAGGGGATGTAGGAAGACGGCTGCTGCACCCCTCGACGGCCGCTGGCCACGAGTCCCCAGGAGGTGAACGGCTGGGTGGGGAGGCGTGGGGGGCGCCTACCCGGCAGGTGCCCGAGCCCCACCGGTCACTGTCTTCCCGCAGCCGAGCTCCTGCGACGGCCACGACGGGCTGCGGAGGCAGGACTCCGGCCGCAAGCCCCGCGCCTTCAGCAAGCAGCCCAGCACAGGGGACTACTACCGGCAGCTGGGCCGCTGCCCGGGCGAGACGCTGGCCGCACGTCCAGGCATGGCGCACAGCGAGGAGGTGCGTGCCTGCCCGCCCACGCCCGCCGGCTGCCCGCCCCTTGGCCCTGCCGTCCGCGGCTCACTCGAAGGCCCCTCTGCTCCCCCGCAGGCGGCGCTGCTCCCAGGGAACCACGTGCCTAACGGCTGTGCCGCAGACCCCAAGGCGTCCAGGGAGCTGCCACCGCCGCCACCGCCGCCACCGCCGCCCCTGCCCGAGGCCGCGAGTTCGCTGCCACCGGCCCCGCCTCTGCCCCTCGAGGGCGCTGGCCCTGGCTGCGGGCAGCGCCGCTCCTCTTCGTCCACCGGCAGTGAGTAGGGGCAGGTTGAGGGCTGGGGGGCGGCGCTAGCCCTGAAAGGGGAGGGAAATCTAGACACCGCCCCCTCCCCAGCTGTCACTGCCCGGGTCCTTCCTCTTCTACATGCTCTTCCGGCCACCGCTACCCCATTGAGTACTTGACCCTAAGAGAGGGCTCTGGGTTGCTCGCGGTCCTGCCAAAGCAGGGCGCGGCTGCGCTCCTGGGGCAAGTCCCCTCCCCAGTCTGGGCCTGCCTCCCACCCCCTAGCTGTGTGGCCTGGGCAAGTCCCCTCCCCTCTCTGGGCCTGCCTCCCACCGGCTAGAAAGGGTCTCCCAGCTCTGGCGCTGGCATTTCCAATGAGCTGGTGCTGGAGGAACACTTGAAGTAGAACCAGCTTCAGAGAGGCCCCGAAGCTGGCCACCCTTCCCCCTGCCCCCGTCTATCCTGAGCCTCTCTTCCTCTCTCCATGCCTTTCTCTTGTCCTTCCAAGCAGCACAGACCTGAAGCCTTCTTAGATATGCCAGGAACTCTTCCTAGCCAGTTCCTGCCAGGGGCCCTGGGCCAGCCGGGGCCTGGCTATGGGGGCAATGTTTTCCCCTCCCTCCCCGGTGACTTCCCTAGGCATCCTTTTTTAAGAGCTAGACTGGTGCAGGATTCCTGGGCTGCTTTTCTGTAGGGTGGGACAGTGTCCCCCTGCCAGGATACCTAGAAGGCCCAGGACAGGGTGTCTAGATGTGGTGCTCCCATCTCAGCCTGGCTGGGATGCCTTCCTCACCCAGCCACTCAGGGCAGAGATCATGCTTAGTGGCACCCTCCAAAGCTTTGTCTCCCTGACTAGGAGTGCAGAGCAGAGCTTGTCCCCCTACGGTTCCTATGGAGCCCCAGCCCCTGCAGACCAGAGCCCATGGAAGCATGTCCAGCACCTGCTGAGCCTCCTTCTCCTTCCCTCCACAGCCTGCAGCAGGGCTGAAGCTAAGGGCAGAGAAAAATACTCTGGACTTCCCCAGACACCCCCACCCAGCACAGCCAGGGCTGGGTGCCCTACCACAACCCAGTGCCAAGGTGGAGGCCCTTGCTAGGGGCTAGAGCCAGTGGTGGCCCTGTCCAGCCCTCAGGGGCACCAGCCAAGCCGGGAACTCAATGGACCACCCTCATGAGGCCCCAGAGCAGCCGGGGCCAGGGTCAGATGGGCAGAAAAGCTCCTCCTCTCTTCTCCACTCCCCCCCTCCTGCTCTCCCTGGCCCGCTCCCTGTCCCCTGCTGTCCCAGTCTCATCCTGGCCCCCTCTCCCTCCTAACTCCACTGTCACTTCTCTCCTCTTGGTCCCTAGAAGTGAGAGTCCTGAGGCACAGGAAGAGTGAGTAGCTGCGTGCGCGGCTCCTGGCTGAGGCTGAGGCGCGGGGTGGGGGGAAGAGGCAGGAAAAGCAAGGCAGGAGGGGCCCAGACTCGAGGAAAGGGCAGGGGCTGGCAGGCGAGAGAAACTCGATGCATGGGTGGGCCCTTGCACCTCATACCTACCCTCATACCCACATACGCACCTAAGCATTCTGCGCCTGGCTGGTGGTTTTGCCTAAATAAATGAGCCAGCCACACCGATTTTCCCTTTCTCCTCTTTTTCCTCCCTGTGACTGTACTCTGGGATCCCCAGTCTGGGAATCCAAGAGCTGTCAGCCCATTTTGTTCCTCCCTCCCGGACCTGACCCCTTCATCGGGGCTCAAGAGACCTCTCTCCAAATCTCCATTTGCCTCCTCCGGCTAAGCCGGAAAATGCACCCTCTGCCCTGTGTATTTGCATATTACCCACCTGCCCGTCTTCCTGGGTGCCTCCCGTAGCCTCAGTAAGGGCCCTGCTTTCCTGGGCCCCTAGAGCTGAGCCTCGCTTTGCCATAAATGTGCTCCCGGCTTGCAACCAATGTGTCTGCTTGTGCGTCTGTCTGTGCGTGTGGTGGGGAGGGAGGGGACCAAGTGGGTACTGACACTCCAGGGTCCGGACTCTGTATGTCCATGGAGGCCCCAATTGACTCAGTTCAAGGGTCACTGAGGCTTTGCTGATGTAGGGAGAGGGCCAGAGGGAGGCTCCACCCCAGCCAGGCTGAGCCAGGGAACCTGGGACAAAGGTCGGGTGGCTGATTCCAGGTATTGTTTTGGAGCTGGGCAGTCAGTGGCTGGGCGGGGACATATGCCCAAGAGCCACCATGAACTCCCAGGGTCCTCCAGGCGGGGGCCCTCCACCCCGTGAGTAGGGTGGGGAGGATAGTGGGGTTGTCACAGTCGGGGAACCAAGGGCCCGCCTCTGGGGGCCCTGAAAACAGCCTGTGGGACCTGGGATCTGGAGAGCTGCTTGCTGGGGCCGAGGATGGGCACCCAGCCAATCCTGGCTTGGGAAGGAGGCTGCAGAGGGGCGGGTGAGGGGTGGCAGGGATGCAGCCTCACCCTGGCCAGTGCCTCATTTCCTGCCTCTGCATAGGCACCAAGTCTTTCAACATGATGTCCCCGACGGGCGACAACTCGGAGCTACTGGCTGAGATTAAGGCTGGCAAGAGCCTGAAGCCTACGCCGCAAAGCAAGGGGCTGACCACAGTGTTCTCAGGCAGCGGGCAGCCGGCCTTCCAGGTAGGCGGGCCTGGCAGGAGCCTGCGACCTGGCTTCCCTGGCCCCAGGCCACCGGGCGCTCAGCCCCACCGCTTCTCCCTGCAGCCGGATTCACCGCTGCCGTCTGTGTCACCTGCACTGTCACCAGTCCGGAGCCCCACACCGCCAGCTGCGGGGTTCCAGCCGCTGCTCAATGGAAGCTTGGTTCCGGTGCCACCCACTACTCCTGCGCCGGGCGTGCAGCTGGACGTGGAGGCGCTCATCCCCACGCAGGATGAGCAGGGCCGGCCCATCCCCGAGTGGAAGCGCCAGGTGATGGCGCGCAAGCTGCAGCTGAAGATGCAGGAGGAGGAGGAGCAGAGGCGGAAGGTGGGTGGGGCGGGGTGCCCAGGGAGCCCTGGGGTCTGCATCTGGATGCACAGCCCATCCCTCATGCCATTCCCAACCCCAACCTCGGGGCCTCTCGTTTTTCTTTTTCTTTCTTTTTCTTCCTTTCTTTCTTTTTCTTCCTTCCTTTCTTTTTATTTCTTTCTCTCTCTCTTTCTTTTCTTTCTTTTCTTTTTTTCTTCCTTTTCTTTTCTTCTTTTTTTGAGACAGAGTTACTCTGTCGCCCAGGCTGTTGTGCAGTGGCACGATCTCGGCTCACTGCAACCTTCGCCTCCCGGGTTCAATCCCATGCTCCTGATTCTCCTGCCTCAGCCTCCCAGGTAGCTGGGATTACAGGCACAGGCCACCATGCCCAGCTAATTTTTTTGTATTTTTATTAGAGATGGGGTTTCACCATGTTGGCCAGTGCTGGGATTACAGGCATGAGCCACTGTGCCCGGCCATTTTCTTTGTGGAAAGCAGGGTGGCAGGCCCCCGTTTGGGGCTTGTCCCAGTCTCCACACACACTCCCAGCAGCCTGTCCTTGGAAGTGAGACAGCAGCCTTTCTCAGACTCTCCCTCACCTGCCCAGCACCTGGGATCTGGTTAAAAGGCCTGTTCAGATTCAGGAGGTCTGGGCGGTGCTGAGGCTCTGCATTTTAGCCAGCTCCTGGGTGAGGCTGCTGATGACGCTGGTCCAAGGACCACACTGAATAGCCAAGAGGGCTTTGGTCTCAGTCTTAGGGACATGGGCTCTATTGCTGCACTGCCACTTTCCAGCTGCCAATACTGAGCCTCATCCAACCTCAGTTTCCTTCTCTGTAAGGTGGGCTGATCAGCACCCGCTGGCAGGATGAGTTGCCTTTCATTCATCCAACAACTGTTCCCCAAATGCCATCTATTTTTATTTTTTGAGACAGGGTCTCACTCTGTCATTGAGGCTGGAGTACAGTGGTGTGATCTCGACTCACTGCAACCTCCGCCTCCTGGGTTCAAGCGATCCTCCCGCTTCAGCCTCCCGAGTAGCTGGGACTACAGATGCCCACCAACCATGCCCGGCTAATTTTTGTATTCTTAGTAGAGATTGGCCAGGCTGGTCTCGAACTCCTGGCCTCAAGTGATCCACCTGCCTCGGCCTCCCAAAGTGCTGGGATCACAGGCCTGAGCCACCACACCTGGCCCCCGAGTGCCATTTATGTGCCCCACACACTGTTGTAGCCTCTGGGGATTCATGGTGAACATATCAAGGCCTGCTCTAAGGTGGCTGCGGCCATGTGTGTGAGTCACCGAGCACAAAAAATGGGGCAGTGTGCTGGCCGGGCGCGGTGGCTCAAGCCTGTAATCCCAGCACTTTGGGAGGCCGAGACGGGCGGATCACGAGGTCAGGAGATCGAGACCATCCTGGCTGACACGGTGAAACCCCGTCTCTACTAAAAAATACAAAAAAATAGCCGGGCGAAGTGGCGGGCGCCTGTAGTCCCAGCTACACGGGAGGCTGAGGCAGGAGAATGGCGTGAACCCGGGAGGTGGAGCTTGCAGTGAGCCGAGATCCGGCCACTGCACTCCCGCCCGGGCGACAGAGCGAGACTCCATCTCAAAAAAATAAATAAATAAAAATAAAAAAATGGGGCAGTGTGAGAGTGGGTGGCAGTGGAGAAGCACCTGGGCTGATGAAACACAGCCAGCTGCAATGGGGAACGGAAGGGACTGGGGCAACCCTAACTGACCACCTTATATGTGGGCTGGGGGGTGTGTTAGGGAAGGAGGAGGTGATGTCTAAGGTGAGACTTAGAAGATGAGTGAGGGGTGGCCAGGAGGAGAGTGGACTGAAGAGCCACAGGTGGGACAGGGCAGTCTGGAAGTGACAGTGGATGTGGCCCTGACTGTCCTGGAGGAAGGGGGTCGCTAAGCTGGAGAGACCTCAGTGGGGGTCAGGTTACCAAAATCTGGCCAGCGGCCCAGAAGAGAACGGACTTTCTCCCGGAGCACTGGGGAGCCAGGTAGGGGGAGTGTTAAGCAGGGAAGAGGCTGCTTCCTATTTTGTATGTGGGGAGTGGATCACATAGGGTCAAGATGAATCAGGGACCTCTGGGGAGGTGATGGCAGGCCCAGGGGGGAAAACTGGACATCAGAGGTGGAGAAAAGTGAGCAAATGAGAATATTACGGTGCCCAGCTGTCCAGCAGGATGGGGGTGGGGGGTGGGCAGCTCAGTGGAAGCTGCAGCTGTAGCCTCTTTAAGAGCAGAGTGGCCTCTCATTCTGCACATAAAACACTGACCACAGGGAGCGGGAAGGCTTGGGCCACAGGGGAGCTCGAGAAGGGGTCATGAGTCTGGGAGGAGAGGCCTCACAATAGCCGCCCTCGAATTGGTTGGGGAGCGCCACCGCGCCTCTCGGTTTCAACGCCTTTCGCAAGTTCCTTGGGTGGTGTAATGAGCCAACAAGCCAGGCATGGAGACCCCGTCTGCCGGCCTGTTCTCCTTGCCGCCGCAGCAGCGACCAGCGACCGGCCGTGCCCCCCGCCAGCGACCAAAGTGGACACTGCGCAGAGCCCGGAGCGGCGGCTCGGCCGAAGCCTCGCCCCAGCTTCACCCCCCGCCGGCCAGGCGCGGTCCCTCCCTACAGATGCAGCCCCGCGGAGCCATTACACCACCCAGGACATGCAAAAGGTTCCCGGCACCACTGCGGGAGCTGGGCCAGAGGGAGACGCGCCTCCCTCCCCTCTCTTGTCTTCCCCGCCTTAGCTGACGGCCACCAGCTCGTGCTGCTACCCCCGCGAGGGCTGGAGGTACTCCCGCGAGCACAACGCCATCCTTGGGCCCTTCGGCGAGCTCATGACCGAGGCGGACATTCTCCGCATCGAGCAGCAAATCGAGAACCTGCAGGTGCTGCACAAGGCGCAGAAGCTGGAGGCGCGCCTGGAGCAACTGGAGCTGGAGCTGGAGCAGCTGCTGCCCATCTCGGCCGCCCTGTCGGCGCCGCGCTTCACCGTCGACCCGCGCCGCATGCGTGGCCGCGCCGTCAGCCTGCCCGCCTGGTGCAGCAAGATCTCCACGCTGCTCAAGAGCATGGCCACGCTGCTGGCCGCGCTGGGCGGCCGGCCTGCGCACCTGGCGGAACTGCTGACTGCTGACACCGGCCAGCCGCTAGCGCCGCTGCCCGACGCGCCCTGGCGGCCCGGACCGCTGTGCCTGGGCCGCTCGCACTCGCTCAGCTGGTGCCGCGAGGCCGTGGCGCGCGAGATCCTCGAGTGCGGCGTCTCAGTGCAGCATCTGCGCGCCACCTACGAGCTGCGCGCACGGGGCGCGGAGCCCGCGCGCTGTCCGCGCGGCAAGCCCCCGCAGTCCTCTGGCGCCCCGGGCCGCGAGCCCATCCTGCAGGAGGACTACGTGGCGGCCGGCTCTGGCCAGCCCAGCGCCGCCGCCGCCCACGGCCCGCTGGCCGACTGGGAGCCCCTGGGCACCCTGGGCCCGCCCGAGGCACAGGATCGCCAGGCGGCGCTGCCTGAGCCCGAGCAGCTGGCGCGCCGGCCGCCCCTCTGCACGGAGCTGCGCGGCGTCCAGGACTACCTCGACCTGCGCAAAGAGCGCATCGTCTACCTCTTCCTGGAGCACTGGCGCCGCTGGGCCTTCCGCGGCCCGGGCCGCCGCGCCCAGGCGCGCCTACGCAGACTGCTGCCCCGTGTGGCGGCCGCCGGTGCCGGCCCGGAACTGGAGGCCACGAACGCCCCCCGGCTGCCAGCGAGCGACGGCGCAGCCCACGGTCCCGACGAACGACTGCGGCAGCTGCTGAGGCAGCGGCAGGCGGTAGGCAAGCTGCTGGGCCACTGGCGGAGCCTGCTGCGTCGCGTGCCGGCAAGCCCGGGCCTGGCGCACGGCCTGTACTGGCCCCAGCACTTCCTGCCGCCCCTGGACGGCGGCGCACCCCCGCGCTACGACAGCCTCACGCTGGACCTCTTCATGCTCGGCTACTTCCAGCTACTCGAGATGGGCCTGAGCCGCGAGGAGCGCAAGTTCCGCCACCTACTGTGCTACGAGATGTTCGACCGGCTGGGCAGCCACCCGTGGGAGCGCATCCGCCTCTTCCACCGCGTGGTGCTGGAGGAGGTGGAGGCCGGACGGCGCGGCTGGAGCGACGGCTTCGAAGACCTCAGGCACCGGTTCTTCGGGAATGGCCTGGAGGCTGAGCCAGCTCCAGAAGAACAGGAGAAGAAAAAGGAAGAGAAAGAACGCGAGCTAACCGAAGAGGCCGCTCCAGTTCAGACAGGGGTCCTGCCCGAGGGGCAGCCCGAGGCCCTGGCCCCTGCGCCGCAGCCGCCGCCCCCGCCTGCTGCACCTCCGCCGACCTCAGACTCTCCTGGTTCCGAAGCCCCCGCCGAAGACCCCTTGGAACTGGTGTCTGAGATGGGCGAGTTCAGCAACGAGGACATCTGCCGCTACATCGACCGCAGCTTCTCCTTCTGGAAGGAGAAGGAGGCAGAGCTGTTTGACATCTGAGCAGCGGAATTCGGAATTCGCAGTTCACCCTCCAGCGTCTTAGCGTGGGCCTGGACGCCGGTCTGACGCCCTCCAGAGGCCGGAAGCAGCGGGAAGAACCCAGGACTGTGGCCTTGAGCAGCCCGGAGGGCCCAGGACCAGGCTGCCTCAGCCTCTGAGGTCCCATCGTGGCAGGCTGTGGGGCGTTGGTCGCATAGGCAGGGCACGCACAGAACAAACCCGGTGTCCCCCTCTGGCCCCATGGCATTGCTGGGCTCTGTGTGGAGCCAGGCAGCAGAAGCCCCTCTGAGTGAGGGGCTGCGGCCCCCCCCTTGTGGCAGTGTGGCCTGCTCTCCGGTTTTCCACTGGAGTTCACAGCTACCTCCTTGGCTGAGGTCAAGGGAGCCTCGTGTGCAGTGTTCCGTGTGAAGTGTGCCGTGTACAGACCCTTTCTCCTCTGTAACATTCGATAAATAAAACTCTTTGCTGTAAACTGCCTACGTTGGCCACTACACCTGCCCCCGATGTCACTGCAGCCCCACGAATGTACAGCACATGTCCACTCTTTTGGGAAGAGGGCAACCATGGGCCGAACGTCCTTCGCAGGGGAGCCAGGGGCAGCCCGAGTCTCCCTGAGCCAAGAGGCTGGGTGGGGGCCCACATCTGCATCTGCCCAGAGGTCTTGGGCCTGTGGCCATTGGCCACCTGCCCCTGTGGCGAATCACGCTCAGGACCTCTGGGTCCCAGCTACTTATTCTCTGCTTCTGTCCCACTCAGCTCTGATCTCTCTAGTGCCTCCTGTAGGACACAAGGGTCTGGGTTACTAGGGGAAAGGAGGCCAGCTCTGAGGGGCTGTGACTAGGCACTTCATCCACTTGTCCCACAGAAGTTCATCAAAAGGGTATCTTCCTGTGACCCTGACTCCTTCAGGTCCCCAGGTTGAGGGTACCCCCTATCTCCCAGCCCCTGCAGGCCCTGAAGCTTTGTGGTTGTGTTTCAGGAGGAGGAGGAGGAGGCCCGGCTGGCCAGCATGCCCGCCTGGAGGCGGGACCTCCTGCGGAAGAAGCTGGAAGAAGAGAGGTGAGCTGGGGGTCAGGCAGAGACTGGCCTGGCAGGGTGTCTTGACTGCGTCCCTGAGGTGGAGGGACCAAGTGACACTCTCTTTTTCCTTCCAGGGAGCAGAAGCGGTGAGTGCAGGGCTGGCCCCAACCTGCCACCCTTACCCCCACCCAGGTCGCAGAGGGTCATCCCTTCATCCAGGCCAACTTGAGTGCATCCTCCTGTCTCTTAGTCCTTGTACAAAGCCTCTTTCCTCCTTATAATGCCCCAGCCCGCTGTCCCCCAGAATCTCTCTCTCATGCTCTGATAACTTTGCTCCCAGTTAATTCAGTCCCTGCCTCCTATTAGCATGGCCTTTTCTACCCTTCAATTAACCTAACCCCAGTATCAATCACCTTGATTGGCCCTCAGAATGTATTTTCTGCCCCTAGTAATCTCACCCAGCCCAGTGCTGTCCAGTAGAAATATAATGTGAGCCACAGATGCAATTTAAAATTTTCTAGTAGCCACAGTGAAAATGTAGAAGGATATAGGTGAGCTTAATTTTAGTACTGTTTTATTTGACACAAAATATCAAAAATATTATTTTGACACATAATCAATATGAAACTTAGTGAGATGTTTTATATTCCTCTTGTAAAATAAGTCTTTGACCAGGCATGGTGGTTTACACATGTAATCCCAGCACTTTGAGAGGCCAAGGCAGGGGGACCACTTGAGCCCCAAAGTTTGAGACCAGCCTGGGCAATGCAGTGAGACCTCATTCTGGAAAAAAAAAAAAAATTTTTTTTTGGGACGGAGTTTCACTCTCGTCACCCAATCTGGAGTGCCGTGGTGATCTGGGCTCATGCAACCTCCACCTCCTGGGTTCAAGCGATTCTCCTACTTCAGCCTCCTGAGTAGCTGGGATTACAAGCATGTGCCACCACACCCAGCTAATTTTTGTATTTTTAGTAGAGACGGGGTTTCACCATGTTGGCCAAGCTGGTCTCAAACTCCTGACCTGAAGTGATCCACCCGCCTCAGCCTCCCAAAGTTCTGGGATTATAGGCGTGAGCCACCAAGCCTGGTCTTTTTTCTTTTCTTTTCTTTTCTTTTTTTTTTTTTTTGAGATGGAGTCTCACTCTGTTGCCCAGGCTGTAATGCAGTGGCTCAATCTCGACTCACTGCAAGCTCTGCCTCCTGGGTTCAGGCCATTCTCCTGCCTCAGCCTCCCAAGTAGCTAGGACTACAGATGCCGGCCACCACGCCCAGCTAATTTGTTTGCATTTTTTTTTAGTAGAGACAAGGTTTCACCATGTTAGCCAGGATGGTCTCGATCTCCTGACCTTGTGATCCGCCTGCCTCGGCCTCCCAAAGTGCTGGGATTACAGATATGAGCCACCGCGCCTGGCCTTTCTTTTTTTTTCTTTGAGAGAGAGTTTCGCTCTTGTTGCCCGGGCTGGAGTGCAATGGCATGATCTTGGCTCACTGCAACCTCTACCTCCTGGGTTCAAGCGATTCTCCTGCCTCAGCTTCCCAGGTAGTTGGGATTACAGGCACCTACCACCATGCCTGGCTAATTTTTGTATTTTTAGGAGAGGCCAGGTTTTGCCATGTTGGTCAGTCTGAGCTCCAACTCCTGACCTCAGGTGATCTACCCACTTCAGCCTCCCAAAGTACTGGGATTACAGGCGCGAGCCACCGCACCAGGCATGCAAAAAAAATTTTTTTTAATTAGCTTCGTGGGGCCAGGCGCACAGTGACTCATACCTGTGATCCCAGCACTTTGGGAGGCTGAAGTGGGCAGATCACCTGAGGTCAGGAGTTCAAGACCAGCCTGGCCAACATGGTAAAACCCCGTCTCTACTAAAAATACAAAAATTAGGTGGGTGTGGTGGCGCATGCCTGTAATCCCAGCTACTCGGGAGGCTGAGGCAGGAGAATCACTTGAAACCGGGAGGCGGAGTTTGCAGTGAGCTGGGATAGCACCATTTTGTGCTCCAGCCTAGACAATGGAGGGAGACTCCATCTAAAAAAAATAATTAAAAAATTAGCTGGGCAGGCCGGGCTCAGTGGCTCACACCTGTAATCCCAGCACTTTGGGAGGCCAAGGCAGGCAGATTACTTGAAGTCAGGAGTTCGAGACCAGCCTGACCAACATGGTGAAACCCCGTCTCTACTAGAAATACAAAAATTAGCTGGGCATGGTGGTGTGCACCTGTAATCCCAGCTACTCAGAAGACTGAGGCAGGAAAATCGCTTGAACCTCAGAGGTGGAGGTTGCAGTGAGCTGAGATCGTGCCACTGCACTCCAGCCTAGGTGACAGAGCGAGACTCCGACTCAATTAAAAGAAAAAAAAATTAGCTGGGCGTAGTGGCACACACCTGTGGTCCCAGCTACTTGGGAGGCTGAGGTGGGAGGATGACTTGAACCCAGGAGGTCGAGGCTGCAGTGAGCCATGATTTCACCACTGCGCTCCACCCTGGCAACAGAGCAAGACCCTGTCTCAAATAATAATAATAATAAAACTTAGTCTTTGAAATATCATGCACATTTTACACCTGCAATCCATCACAGTTTAGACCAGCCACATTTCAAATTCTCAGCAGCCACATGTGCTTAGTGACTATTCTGTCAACAGGGCAGATCTACCCTCTACGTTCTAAAAACCTGTCTCTAATTCTCAGTCCCTGTCTCTCAATTATATGGTCTTTCTGGTCCCCAGCAGCCCCACCCCAGTCCTCAATACTTCATATTGACAGCTCCCCAACAACTGAAGTCCTGATCCCAGTAATCTTGCTGCTGCACCCCAGCAACACCACCTCCTCACACGGTGCCACACAGTGACCCAGCACCTCTGTTTCCAGTAACACCCCAGCCCACAATAATCCAGCCTCAGCCTCCCACTCACACAGCTCCCCTATGCTCCAGTAACCCCATTCTGCCCCCATCTAGCCCCTCTGTCTTCAGCAACCCAGCCCCCACCCTCAGTAACCCTCCCCTTGCATGGGTGACCTGGCCTCTGCCTGGTGCCTGGCCCCACCCTTTCTGCCAGCCTGGGTATCTGGCCCCAGACTTCACCGGGTCTGTCCCCCCCACCGCCTCAGGAAAGAGGAGGAGCGACAGAAGCAGGAGGAGCTGCGGCGGGAGAAGGAGCAGTCAGAGAAGCTGCGGACGCTGGGCTACGATGAGAGCAAGCTGGCGCCCTGGCAGCGACAGGTCATCCTGAAGAAGGGGGACATCGCTAAGTACTAGAGGCTGTGGCCTCCTGCCCGCAGCCTTGCAGCTCGGAGGGGCCCCCCGCCCCAGCCCCAGCCAGCCAGGCCCCGGCGGAAGGGCTGGGAGCCGCACAGCCCACCCCTCCTGCGCTGGAACCCCCCCCAACCCCCCATCCTGGCCCCAGATCCCCAGCCCTTGGCAACACTGGAGTGCACACGCCACCCCAGTTGCCCAGAATAAGTGCCCAAGCTGCTGATGCAAACAACAAAAAATGCTGCTTATTTGCATGCTGACTTACATATATTTGCATGTTCGTTGAATATCAAAGAGTGAAGAGCTCTCCCCAGCCCTGTGGGTGGTGACTTTGTTTTCCTGCGGGGCTCAGCCCCCTCCAGGATGCAGTCCCCTCCCCCGCACCCCGGAACCGGCGTCGCTGGCGCATCCTGGGTGGAGGCAGGCCCCGAGCTCGGGGAAGGGGTTTTCCCTCCGTCCCTGACCCAGATCTGTGCCCGGTCTAGCCCGGGCCTCATTTCTTATCCCCGCTGAGGGTTTCCTCTCAGTCATTTGTTTACCAGAAAGATGAAAACTGCCTGTCGGGCCTCAGTTGGGGCCCCTGGGACCCCACCTCTGCCCCCACCTCCCTCAAGGCTACGCCCCGTCCCCAGACAGACCCACTCGCTGCCAGGACCCTTTCACTGCCCCGGTGGAGTCAGTGGAGGATGAGGGGCCCTGACCCTGTGTCTGTAACTGCTGCACCCCATCCCGACCCTGTCCCCGCCACCTTGCAGCCCCATTAAAGCGCTCTCATCACTCGCCGTGACCGCGACTTGCTCTCTTCTGGGGGTAATTGGACCAGAGTGGACTCGGGAGGGGCAGGCTTGGGAGCTAAGGCCACACTGGACTCCACCATGGGTGCCAGACCCCGGGGTGACAAGATTCCCGTCCCCTTCGACTCCCTCGAGAAAAGTCCAGGCCACTTAACACCCCAGCCCCGCAGAAACGCCAAGAAGCCTTTTTTTTTTTTCTTTCACAGATTTAATACCACGATCTCAGCCAAACTCCGGCCGAGAAACTGAGAAATGTCTTGACCCCCTCCCGACATTCGTTCGTGCTTCTTCGCCTTGGCTGGAGTGATAGGGGCAAGCAGGGGTGGGGCCGGCTGGTGCGGCTACGCAGGACCGTGCCAGCGGCTTAATAAGTGACATAAAATGTCTACACGCATAAGTAACCGTACTTAGGGCTTCTGCAAGGGCCACCAGAGCGCCTAGGTGGCGAGTGGGCGCCGTGTCACGGGCCGCGCTGCAGGCGGCTGCGCAAGTCCTCCGCGCAGCCGTCCAGCCCCATGCGCTCCAGGGCCGCGTAGACGGCGCCCAGGCCCGCGGGCTGCTGCTGGCGCCAGCGCTTGAGCATCTCGTACTGCTGGTCTCGGAAGCGGCCAATCTCCACCTCCACGGCTTCGATCTCCGCCTCGCGCAGCCCCAGCGTGCGCACGAACTCCTTCCAGCGCCGCGCTGGCACAGCGTCCATCACGTCGTAGAGCTGCGGGCCCGGCTGCAGCATCATGGTGGGCGAGCCAACTGGGGACTCTGGCAAGAGTGTGGACGCAGGAGCGGGGCCTGGGGCAGGGCCAGAGAGAGCCAATAGGGTACGTGGGCCGCGGTCGGGAGGTGGAGTCAGGGGCGTTCGTGCGGGTACCCTAGGCCTGAAGCCGGCTGGATCCCGGCTGGATCCCGCGGGTCAGGGCACAGGGGGCGGACCCGGTCAGTTAGGGGGCAGAAAGGGAACACGTTGTGAAACCACAACTTCCCACCACAGACACGAGAATGGGGTCAAGGCCTCAGGCCACTGATGTCCCTTACCAAGAGCGCTGTTGGGCAACTGGTCCCAGGACCATGTCATCTGCGGGCAGAGCGCCTCCTGGGTCTGGGGGTAGCCAGGGGTCCAGCTGTTGTCTACCAACTGGATGGTACAGATCTTCTCACTGCTGTCAGGAGGCACTAGAAGGGTGTGGGCATTGTCGGAGGGTGACAGATGGGTGGCCTGGAAGCCAAGAGGGGCCCCAGGTCAGCCCTGCTTGTCAAGTAAGGCCCCTTACCTGCAGTGCCTCTCCAGGAGGGAACAGTCCCTGGTTCAGTCAGCAGACACTCCCGCAGTAATACCTCCCACAGTTGGCCCTGCTCTCGCTGTGGCCCAGCAGAACTCTTGCTTCTGCCTCGAGTCCCCTGCCCCCGCCTCCTTCCTCTTGTCCCCCAGCACCATGGGGCTCTCCTTCCATTGAACTGTTAGCTCCTGTGTACAAGTCTGAACCCCAGCTGACTGACACCCCTTGAGGGCAGGACTCAGCTCGCAACAACTCTGTCTACTAGGTCTACCCGGTGCTAGCCACGTGCCAAGCTCCGGGGATCACAATAAGGCTTCATCTTCCAGCTCCAGAAGGCAACCCAGAATCACACAGTGAGGTTCTTACCGGTGGTGGGGTCAGAGCCTCCATCCCAGCCTCATCTGCTGACAGACACAGAGACAGTGTGGTCAGCGACCAGGCAAGCCTCCTGGACCTGGGTGCTAGTACAGCTCCTCTAGGGTTCCTCTGCACCCCGCACCCCCTGCCTCAGTTTCCCCTTCTGTATCAGGGTTGAGTAGGCTCTGGGCTACCCATCCTGACCCCAGGCTTCTGCGTGTGTGTGTGTGTGTGTGTGTGGGTCTGTGTACTTACCAGTAACCATGGGCTTGTGAGGCCAGCAGTGGCGGTATGTGTAGGTCAGGGTGGCCCCAAGCAGGAGGGGAACCACAAGGCCAGCCAGGAGCACCTGGACCCAGAACACTGAAAGCAGCTGGTGGGCGTTGGGTAGTAGCCCCCCTCACCCGCCTCCCCTCGGCCCATCCCAGTTCTCCCACTCGCATTCCCAGCACACCACCTACTCTGCCTCCAGCCACAGACAGCGGCACAGCGCTCTGGACAGCTCCCCAGGGTGCTCCTGAAAGGGACGGGGGTGGCCTGAGGGATGAGGGGGTGCATGCCAGGAGGGGCTCCCCAAGACTGCTCCATCCTGGAGACTCTTCCCTCCCCAGGCCTCTCTCCTGTGAGCCTCACTCTACCCAAGAATGTTCCTGTCATTGTGCCCCCGATAACAACCACAGACACTATTCATTGAGCTGCTTCTAGACTATATGAAGAGTCACTAGAATGTCAACCCCAAAAGGACAGGGATTTTGCCTATTTTGTTCCCTGTTGCATCCCCAGCACCTAGAACAGTGTGTAGAACATAGGAGATATTCAATAAAGACTTGAATGAAGGCCGGGTGCGGTGGCTCACACCTGTAATCCCAGCACTTTGGGAGGCCGAGGCGGGCAGATCATGAGGTCAGGAGATCGAGACCATCCTGGCTAACACGGTGAAACCCTGTCTCTACTAAAAATACAAAAAATTAGCTGGCATGGTGGTAGGCGCCTGAAGTCCTAGCTACTTGGGAGGCTGAGGCAGGAGAATCACTTGAACCCAGGCGGTAGAGGTTGCAGTGAGCCAAGATCGTGCCACTGCACTCCAGTCTGGGTGACAGAGCAAGTCTCCATCTAAAAAAAAAAAGACTTGAATAGATACAGAAAGTCCCTTACCTCTGATCAAAGGCCTGTGAAGAAGCTGCTAACATCCCATGTTGAGAAAGGGACACCACATATCAGAGATGTGAATTCTCTAAACTTGCCCAAGATCCCCTAGAGAACTAGCAGCACAATCCTGACTCTCAGCCCTTTGTATTTATCTATTTATTTTAATATATTTAATATTTATTTAATATTTAATAGATTTAATATTTATTTATTTAATTCATCTTGCTCTGTTGTCCAGGCTGAAGTGCAGTGGCACGGTCATAGCTCACTGCAGCATCAACCTCCTTCAGCCCAAGTTTTAAAGCTATATCAATGTGACTGTCTGTAAAAGTGACAAATCATCTGTAATACCTGGCTAGAAGGATCACTGGGGGGAATGCTGGCTGAAAGGGAAGGCATATACCCTTATTTATCTGGCTAAGGAGGATGCAGATTTCTCTTTTACCATCTAAGTTTGCCTGAAGTGGGGCCCATCCAACACAGGGCCAAGTTCCCTCCTCCCTGTCCCCTCTTCCTATTCCTGAACCAGCAGCACCTGCCCCACCCCACGCCCTTGCCCTGCTCCCAGCTGCCCTTCCTTCCATCCCAAGACAGCTAGGTATTACGTGGGGCAGGACACGCAGCCATCGTCATGTTCATAGAAGCCAGGCAGGCAGGTCCCACAGTCAGTATCTCTGCGAGAACCTGCAGTCCAGGAGAGGCATGCGTCAGCATGGAACGGGAGTAGGGCAGGCAGAGAAGTGGGTCTGGGAGTAGATAGCCCTGGGTGGGGGTACTCACAGAGTAGCCGTGTGTGGCGGTGCAGGGCCCTGCAGTCTAGGCATGGTTGGCAGTAGAAGGGTGAACTGCTGACACATTGGCTGACCTGGCACTCCACAAACCAGCCTGGCTTACAGCCACAGCGGGTGTCGGCCACAGCTGAACAGTTCTCCAGTGCCACCTGGGAGGCTGGTGGGGGTGCAGGGAGATGGAGAGTGGAGAGTTAGGGCCAAAGGCTCCCATAGAGAGGCAGAGGCAGACCCCCGCCCCCAAGATAATGGAGACAGGAATAGGTGAAAGAGAGACAGGTGCAGGGCTACCCTAAAAAAGAGAGAAGCTCAGAGACTGAGGCCGACCAGAGGCCAAGGCACATGGAGAGATGGAAAGGTCACCAGGAAGAGAGAAGGGGCAAGGGCACCCTGAAGGAGGATCAGGGTGGAGGGTTCTGGCAAGGGTGGGTGCAGGACCCTCACACCCCAAGGTTGGGCCCAAGCCAGCCACTTCCTTCAGAAAGGCCTGTCCTTAGGAACCCCCTGCCAAGCACTGAGAAGCCCCTCACCCTGCTCATCACAGGCTTGGCAGCGGGCACATTCAGGATTATGGTGGTTCTCCCAGGCCAAGAAGGTGTCTTGGGGACACAGAAGGCAGGTGGAGTTGCCACAGGGCTCCGTGCAAGGGGCCTTCAGGTAGTGTCCTGTGGAACCAGGCAGGGGTCAGGCAGGCAGAGGGGCTGCCCGGCAACCCTCAACCTGCTTCCCACCCTGCCCTCCCTCCCTCTTTCTCTCCAGCTCCCTACTTCTCTGTCAGCCCACCCCTACCTCCCCTGCCAGCCTCCTCTTACCTCCCTGGCCTGCCCGCCACCTCTCCAGCCCTGCCTGTCCCATGCCTATCCCACCACTGTGGCCACTTACCCGCGGGGCAGCCCCTGCAACAAAACACACCATTCTTCTTGTGGAAGTCACCGGCACAGTCACACCTGGGGCTCTGTGTGCCGCCCTGGGCCCGGGCCCCCAGCAGCACCAGGAGGAGCGCCTGGGGGACAGGTGCTGCTTACTCTCAGTGCAGCTGCCCACGTGCGGCCTCTCCCTGCCGGGTCTCCGCCATTTCAGAGGCTCCAGCATTTGCCCACAGAACAGCCCACTTCCCAGGCCCCCCGCAGAAGGGGTGCCCATGGGTGGAGACGAGACTAACTTCCTTCCCCCTGTGCACACACCAGCCTTCCGAGAGCCAGAGGAAGGGGCTCTTCCAGCCTCTCACAAGCTTCCCGTCCACCAGGGCAGGGACACGGCAGCACCCACACCGCCACCCATGCTTTCTGTTGGGGGAGGGCCACTGATCATTCTCTACCTGGGGCCCCCAGACCCTCCTGGGAGGAGTTTCCTCTCAGTGGAAGGGCTACGCCCTGGTGGAGCCTCTAACGAGGTCGGAAGGGGCGGCCAGCCCAGCCACAGGGAGGCTTGGAGTGGAGACTGCGCCCGGGGCCCCTTCCTTCACGGAGGCTCTTGGGACAAGGCTCAAAGCTGCCCCTCGCCTCCTGCGTCCCAACTCACCGTAGACACCAATGCCACCGCCGCGGAGCCCCGCGACCGCTGCTCCATGGCCCTCGGCGCCGCGCTCGGCCCTCCGACGGGCGCCCAGGGGCTTCCCAGCTCCGTGCGCTCTGCCCGTCGTGGTTCCGCCTTCACTCCCGCGCCCGCAGGGCCCGCCCCGCGCCGTCGAGAAGGGCCCGCCTGGCGGGCGGGGGGAGGCGGGGCCGCCCGAGGCCAACTGAGTTCGACCGGGTGCCCCCTCTGCTTGGCCTAGACCTGAACTCATTTGGCAGCAGCGGAAAGGCCAAGGAGAACACGCGAAGCGCTGGGCTGCCTGCTGCGACCAGGGACACAGGATGGAGCTGCAGCCCGGTCCCCACCCCGACTCTCGCCCCAACCCTGAGAAACACCTCAAAGTAGAACCAGGGCAAGCGACTTCTTTCTCCGCCTCCGCGACCCCAGCCATGGAGGGGGTTGGGCCAAAAGTACCAGAAGGGGCCAAGCGCAGTAGCTCAGGCCTGTAGTTCTAGCACTTTGGGAGGCTGAGGCGGGAGGATCACTTGAGGTCAGGAGTTCGAGACCAGCCTGACCAATATGGTGAAACCCCCATCTCTACTTAAAATACAAAAATTAGCCCAGCGTGGTGGTGCATACCTGCAGTTCCAGCTACTAAAGTGGCTGGGGCAGGAGAATCGTTTGAACCCGGGAGGCAGAGGTTGCAGTGAGCCGAGATCACACTACTGCACTCCAACCTGGGCAACAGAGTGAGACTGTGTCTTAAAAAAAAAAAAAAGTACCTGAAGGGACCCCCATGGGGGACCCACCTTCCTAAGAGTGTGGGAACTGGGCAGATTCAGCCCTGAATCCCAGGAGGGCACCTGGGGAGATGTTCTGATGGTGGCTGAAGGTGGGGAAGTCTGGGGATGTTGGTCTGGTGGCACCCCACCCCCCGTTACTTCCCAGGTGCTTCCCACGGGAAGCTCTATCCATGGCCCATCCGTGGCATGTGGAGGGGCACAGGAACACAAAGAGGCCACCCTGAATTCAAGTGCCCCGAGTCACTGGACCCCAAAGCAAAGGACTCTTCCCAGTGGAGTCTAGACAAGTCTTTATAAAAGAACCAAAAGCTCAATAAATACGTAACTTTACAGAACCTAGCCCAAGCCAGGGGTGGCCTGTGGGACTGGGAAGGTGGGGGCGAGGCAGGAGCGAGTCCCACTGGAGGCCAGTGAGGGTAGAAGTGGGATGGGCAGCCTGGGAGCCCAGCCCTGGATTCGAGTTGAGCTGTTAACTTCGGGGAGTAGGTGACGAGGGGCTGCCTGGGCAGGTCAGGTGGTACTGTGGCCTGGGCCGCCTCCACTCCATCCAGTCTGGCAAAGCACGAATCGGGCCCGGGTGTAGGCAGGGATCCTTCCCAGCATCCGGCTCACGCACACAGGAGGCAGCCACTGAAGCAGGTGCCAGCACGCCCCATGAGGCAGGCTGTCTACTGTCTCTTGGTCAATGGCACTCTTGGGGGCCTCCCTCTGCTCAGACCTCCCTACAGGGTGGGGAAGGGAGTCTTTCTTTGGCTGACACCATTCAGAGTGGCTCTGGTCACCGTCTCTTCCCCACGGCACTCCTCAGGCCCCTTCACTACTGCCCACCACAGCCCCCTGCACCCAGACACTGGGCAGGGTTCAGGCTCCCTCCGCCATTACCCTCCCCAAGTGCGATGCTCCCAGGCATGACTGGGCCCCCATGCCAGTGCCCTGAGCCACTTGCCCTACCCCAGGCCAGGCCACTCACGAGGCAGTGAGCGTGGAGTTAAGCAGCAGGGTGGTCCTGATTCGGTAGAGCTGGGCCAGGGTCAGCTTCCTGTGCTGGGTGGAGACTCCTGGTGGGGGCTCAGGCTGGACCCTGGGAGAGGCCCCCGAGGGCAGGTCTCCACACCTCTTCCTGTGGGAGCCTGCAGGTTCCCCGGCCAGGCAGCTAGCTAGCCTAGGACCACTGCCAGGGCTAGGGCCCCCCCGGCAATTCCAGCTGGGCCCAGCTTCCTGAGGGGAGCCCTGAGTCCTAATACCTGGGGCTGGGACAGCCAGGCAGAGCTCTGACAGGCTGCGACTGGGGGCAGAGGATGTTCCATGGGTGCTAGTCCCTACCAGCAGCTGGAGGAGGCTGGCCTCGGACTTAGACTTGAGCAGTTGGGGCGGGCAGGTTAACAGCTGGACAGGGGTGCGGCGGCGGAGACGGGGCGAGGGTGGAGGGGAAGGAGCTTGTGGGGAATCTGGGGGCCGAGGCACTAGTTCTGCCACAGGGCCTGGAGCCACAAAGTCTTGTAAGGAGGTTGGGGAGAGGGTGCCGTAGGCAGAGTCCATGGAGCAGGAGCGGCCGTCCACTGGACCCAGGGGCAGCAGCTCACTGGTGGGCGTGGCAGATGAGGCAGTGGTGCTGAAAGAGGTCTCATCGGACTGGGAGCTGAAAGGACCGCCGTCGAACTCGGGGGAGGACAGCGTCTCCCCAGGTTCCACCACAACCATGGCCAGGGTCTCCGTGGAGCCATCTGAGGCACTGTGGGGCCAGGAGCAGAGTCAGCCCAGGCCATGAAACCTAGATGGCCTGAGGCAGCCCCAGGCTGGGCAGTGCACAGTGGTTTATACCCTCTGCCCTCCTGTCTGTCCTCCTGGGGCTAGAGGCTCAGAGATGGCAGCATGTGGCAGGTGTGGCAGATCTTCCAGCTCCAGTGCCCACAACAGACCTCAGTAGCGAGCCCAGTACTCTTCCCTGCCAAGGCTGGATCTGCCCTAAGGATCCTCAGCACAGCACCCCAGGCAGCTGCCACCAATGGATCAGAGCTGGCAGCACGTGGAAAGGTGTCTGCCCACCCCACCTGGACTCTGGGGAGATAGAGCCCCGCCCCCACAGTGTTCATGACAAGAAGCCATTGGGAGGAAGGGAGCGTGGCTGGGCCTTCAGGAGTCCTGGGCTGGAGTACTTGTCCTGGTTTGGCGTGCTGGGTGGTCATGAGCAGACATACCAGTGCTGAGAGTCGGGGCTGCCGCTGCTTTTCCGCATGATGGTGGGGGAGCTGGCAGCTGAATTGCCACTCTCCTCGCCTTCCTCCTCCTCCTCCTCCTCTTCCTCCTCCTGCTCATCCTCCTCCTCTTCCAGGCTCTGCAGGGGCTGCTGGCTGCCTGGGGGCTCCTGTGCACGCAGCTGTTGCAGCTGGTTCTGCAGGCAGTGTTGGGGTACATGGGGCAGAATGGGTTGTGACCAGCAGCTCCCTAATCTGCCCTGCCCACCGACTCACTACTCTGCGCTCACCTGGGCATTGTAAATGGTGTCCACCCAGCCACGGCACAAGGCCTGGCCGCTGGCCTGGAACGTGTAGGCCCCTACAGCACTGTGAAACTCATTCAGGTAGATGAGGAGGAAGGACCCTGGGTAGGGAAGGCCCAAGTCAGTGTCAGCAGAGACGATGGCCCCCACCTATCACAGTCCCTGACCAGGAACAGGGGACCAGGGCCCCTTACCAGGGTCCCGTAGCTCCCGGCACACAATCTTGTCCACTAGCAGGGGTGGCCTGATGACCCTGGTCCTCTCTGCCTTCTTCACTGCCTTGGTCACCAACAGCAGATCCGTGAAGAGGAAGCAGTAGACATCCATCTGCAGTGGGGTGGGGGGCAGTGCAGAGAGGCCAGCAGGGTCAGGGCCAGGGACTGTGGCCCCAGCCTCCCCTGGGAGCATTCGGTTTTTGTCAAACACTCCTCCCAGCATGAACCTTCAAGTAAATTTAAAATGAAGAGGAAGATGATTATCTTTCACTGAGATGTATGTTGATGACTTAATATGAGTTTACATTAAAAAGAAGAGTGGTGACTTTGAAGTCACCATGTGCAATCTCTCAGCCTGCCCCGTGCCTGAAGGGGCCACGGCACAGTAGCAAGGCTCTGGGGTTCCTGGCCCACTTGTGGAATGTGGCTGCCCTCCCACCAGGAACCCACATGGCACCGACAAATGGGTCCACTGGTGCCTTCAAGGGCTAGGACCCTGCTGCTGGATTTGTGAATGGCAGACAGAGAATTGTCATTCACTATGACAAAGTCACCGGTTCTTGAGTCACCACCCAAGTGACTGGGGAGCTGAGAACCAGTGACTGTGGCCCAGAAGGTCCCCAGGAAGGACAGGGCATGGGGGTGGGGTGGCCCTGGAATTACTTTGCTGTCCTTCCCCTCCTTCATCTTCAGGCTCCCCTCCAGCAGCAGCTGCCGCGTCTCCTCCGGGGAGGCGCCGGGGATGGGCGCTGTCAAGTCCAGGTGCAGAAATTCCTTCAGGAGCTGGGGACAGAGGGCGTGAGTGTAGGGGAGGCCAGAGCCTGATTCCCATCTCAGCTAGGCATCCTCAGTGAGATGCCCAGCACAGACCCTGCCTGCCAGCTTGGCCTTCCTCTCTCCCAGCCGGCAACCCCCGCAGACACACGCCCACCTTGTCCACTTCGTCGCTGCTGCTTTCCACCACCTCGTAGGCGTCGATGCGGCTCACCACGGCCGCCAGCCGCTGCCGCTCCTGCCGCTGCCGCATGCATGCATTCACGTGGTGGATGAAGCGCTCCACGGAACCGATCTAGGGGCAGGCGAGGGGGCTTCAGGCCCAGGCTCATGACGGGCAGACAGCCGTGCAGGGGAGGCCACCCCTGTCGGCCATCAGGGTTACCATGGTGACGACGGCCTCCTTGGCGCGCGGCTCCTCGGTCTTCCTCAGCACCGACTTGAGCAGCAGCGGGTACTTGGTGAGCCGCTGGTGGGGTTTGGCCAGCATGTCGCTCAGCTTCAGCCGTTGGCACTGTGGGTGCTTCTCGGCCCACTGCGGTGGGGCAGCGGGGACGGGGCTCAGGGCAGGCCCCGCCCCACCCGGCCCCGCCCAGGGTCCAGTCCTCCTGCGCCCCCGCCCACGGCGCGCACGCTCTCACCGTGATGTAGGCCCGGAAGAGGTCGTTGTCGCGCAGCAGACCGCGCATGTACTCCATGCAGCCCTCCTCCTCCATGCAGTAGCGGATGTAGGGCTTGAACAGCGAGCCGAACTGGCCCGGGGCAGAAAAACCACGGCGCCGGTTACCTCGCGCTCCCTGCGGGCCGGCCCGCGCCAGGTGCTGCGCAAGCGCTTCCTTAGGGCACTTGCACGACCACCCCAAGGGGGCGGCAAGCTTATGATCCCTGTTTCCAGATGAGGAAACTGAGCCTCAGCCAAAGAGATCACTCGCGGCCAGGGAGCAGGGGTAGATGGCCAGGTGGGGGCTCAAACCCGGGCGACCGCCTCGTAATTCCTCACCCTTGGCCATGGGAGGTCAAGTGCGGTCACGGGTCCGGGGGAGGTTGGGGATGCTGGGCAGACCGGATTGGGCCGTGGAGCCTTTTCGGCGCCCCAGCCCTACCTTAGTGCCCCTACCTGCGCCGGGCCCCGCCCGTACCATCTTGAAGCCTTTGAGGAAGTCCCCGGGCTGCAGCAGCGCCCGTGTAAGCCGC